CCTGTAAATATAAAAGAAACACTACCTGTTTATAAATTCAAGTCTCTTCTCAAAGATCACTTACTCACCCAAAACCAAACAAATACTGAATAACTGAACCTTATAAATTGTATATCTTAAATGTTTCTCACAATTATATCACATAAATGTTAAACCTAAAACACTATCTAACTATTATTTTTTAAATACACTACCTAACAGAATACTCCATTCGACTGAATGTACAGCAATGCATGCAACCATATGACCTGTCTTTGTAATACTCATTTGTGCTTTATAGTTATCTGTTTACAATAATGTTTTATCACTGATTTCATCATTGCTTAGTTAATCTTAAGTTAATTTTAAGCCAGCCCATAATGCTATGCATATAAGTGGCTTTGGCATGCTGCTCTTACCTGTATTTTTTTGTACCTCTGTATGTATGCTCAAATTACTAAATAAATAAATAAAATAAATAAATAAATTATACACTGTGTGCTGCAGGATTTGTTTTATGTGGTGCACACATACCACATAGATGTATTCTCTCATATCTACGCCCAAATTTACCACTCACAGCTTATCAGAGTGAGCTGAGCTCATGGCGTAGATCTACGGTTTGGACCCTGAACGTAAAGCCGTAGATCTATGGCATGGACCCTGAAAGGGTTAAATAGAACAAATGGAACACAAGAAAGACTTGGGAATAATTATGTCAGCTGACCTTTCTGTCAAAGAACACAGTAAGACAAAGGTCACCTCAGACTGAATATCAGGTTATCCTAGGTTAAATCTACAGTGCTTTTTGGCTGACTTCCACCATTAGAAGCTATCAAGAAATTGTAATAAGGCATCCTCCTGCTTAATGTTTACATATGCTAATTAATCAGTGTTACCCATGATGCACTGCATGGACCTATTCGGTCTATTTTTTTTCAAAGATATGACGAGGTTGTTGGAGGGCCAAACATCCCTGTCACTTTTCATATTAGTATGTGGGTTTTATAGTTTCAAGAGTAAAGACAGCTAGAAAATAGAACATCTCTCCTTTGGGTCCCCCTCCTAGTGGGCAATGGCCAGTTAAAAAAAATTTACTATATTAATTAAACTTGCTTAGTACAGTAGGGCCCCACTTATACGGCAGGTTAGGTTCTAGGCTACCGCCGTAAAGCAGAAATCGCCGTAAAGTGGAACACCCTTTTTTTTCCACTTAACAAATGCATACAAACACTAGATAACAAGTTTACCTAACATATATTAAGTTAGCAATAGAACTAGGCATCAAAAAAACAATAAAAAAGTACAATACACACATAGTGCACTCATTACTTACCTTAAAATATTTGTAGTCTTAATCTAGGGTGAGATGAGTAGTATTTATTGTAAAAAATCAAGTGTGGTATGTATGGTAGTCAGCCGGGCTACCATACCAGGCCAACCCACCCACACATACTATTCTATGATATTTAAGCATCCCCCGAGCGGGGAAAATGTATATACAGTTCACTCATTACTTACCCTTTAAAAAATTTGTAGTCTTAATGTAGGGTCAGGAGTAAGTAAATGAGATAAAACCCAAAAAATGAGAGAGAGAAAGAATGAGTGCATGAGAGAGGACAGGCCCGAGTTATGTAAACAAACCAGGCGAACTTAAGTTTTGTAAACAAAAAAAGTGTACACGTCTGGTTTGTGTACAAATTACATTGTGTACAAGTTGTCTCTACATTGATACAGTAGAATAAATAAAGAAGAACACTCCCATTCTCATGTAACACCATTTTGACAAGAAATTACGCTCTGAGTGAAGACAATGGAAATAAGTCACTGACTTTTTTGGGTTATCCTAGGTTCTCTACACGTATGTTATGTATGATAATCTATGTAACTGTATTTGTGTATACCTGAATAAACTTACATACATACGAAAGGAACGATTTTCTACAGTTACCCCAGTAACACATTTTCTCTTGTGTTAGATTAGAGAAAATGTTGTTCTTGCCGTCACTTGTACAAGTTATCTTACTACCACATCTCATTTATGTTTATTTATTCTATTGTGGGGTGTATTTATCATCTTTATATGTTATGCATCATGTTTATTACATAATTCTGAAAAAATATCATGGATGGATTAATGAAAATGTGTATATTAACGTAATATACGACATTTAACCCTTTGACTGTTTTCGACGTATAAATACGTCTTACGAGCCAATGTTTCTGACGTATATATACTCAATAATTCTAGCGGCTTCAAATCAAGTGGGAGAAAGCTGGTAGGCCCACATGTGAGAGAATGGGTCTGTGTGGTCAGTGTGCACCACATAAAAAAAATCCTGCAGCACACATTGCGTAATGAGAAAAAAAAAACTGATCGTTTTTTTGGAATAAAACGCCGACTTTGAGGTGTATTTTCGTATAGTATTTATCGTTGTATTCGCGTTTTCATGGTCTTAGGTGATAAAATGGAAAACATATTACAGAATTAGAGATGATTTTTATTACTTTTACGATGAAAACGACCTTGAAACTGAGCTCAAAGTAGCGGAAATGTTCGATTTTTACCAATGTTCAAGAGTAAATAAATCACACCACACGTCCAATACACGTCAACTGGGGAGTCTAATATTCTTTCACTAGTGCACTGATATTATTTATACCATTTTTACAATAATGCAGTGTTATGGGGCTATAGGACCCAACATGTATTTATAAGTAACAGTTACTCTGGAATACCTAATTATATTGAATTGATGGGGACTTTGCTCTAAATGTCAGAAGGACTGATCAACCTTATGACTGAGGCAGCTGGGTCAAGCCTATTTTTCTCAATATAATAGGTTTATATAGACACATAAACACACAAATTTAAATAAGTAGTTTATAAAGTTGTATTTCCTTTTGTAAAAGTAAAATTAAGGTGTGGTAGGATTGTGGTAACTGGAGAATTGTGCTTGGCAATAAGTAGTTTATAAAGTTGTATTTCCTTTTGTAGAAGTAAAATTAAGGTGTGGTAGAATTGTGGTAACTGGAGATTGTGCTTGGCAACAGTCTTTTGTTTTGGTGGAGGAGCTTAGCCTCTTTCTCTCTCTCCCTTCGCACTGACTCGGTCTCTCTGTGGCTGGCCTTCAACCTGGCAGGATCTCTGGGTCCTTCTTCTATCTTTTGGGCATTATGTGTGCTCCAGGGGTGAGTTTTTTTTATAATTTTAAGTTGTGACCACCATACCCAGGGTGACTAAAGTGTGTCAAAACACTGGTTAGCCCAGAGTTATGTCAAGGAGAGAGAGAGGACTAAAGTTGTTGAGATATACCATGTGGGAGAAACAGCTATGCAGTGTGTAGATCGTTGTTTTGAAAATGTTGAGGCTGTAATTGTATATTCTGTACATATCTATTGAGAATACAGTTATATTTTTATAGTAGTAGTTTACATAACCTGTGAAGAGGGCTGGTGAAAGGGTATCAGAGACACTCAGGATGATCAGCCATGATGTAAGTATTACCCCTAGACAAATAAGACCATTAAGTAAAAGCTACCCCACACTAGAACATGTAGTGAGAACCTTACTATCAAAGTAATAAGGGACTACCAACGTAACATGGCTCAGTCATAAGGTTGATCAGTCCTTCTGACATTTAGAGCAAAGTCCCCATCAATTCAATATAATTAGGTATTCCAGAGTAACTGTTACTTATAAATACATGTTGGGTCCTATAGCCCCATAACATGCAGTCGTCTGCATAACAGTAAATTTTGTATTTTTTTGTATGAATAAAAAATCAAAATAGAAAGCAATAATAATATAAGAGGGGCCTAGAGATGTGACTAATGAACAGAGCATATGTTATTTTAGTGCCACGAATGTCTAACTTGTTTATTCTGGACCCTATTTTGAAATTGGCATCTTTTTTATTTTGCGTGAAATTGGCCAAATTGCCAATTTCTGACCACCATATTGGGTAGTCCAAATTAGTAAATGGGAGGTTTCTTGTACTCAGCTGATAGATAAAATGGAGTTCTAAAGAAGTAGCTATGAGTTTGGTCAACTGGAACAATGGAATTGGCTGAAAATTGGACTCAAAGTCGGCGAAATCGCCGATACGCATATATCGCCGAGACCGCTAACTTCGCGGGAGCATAATTCCACGAGTTTTCGACCAAATTTCGAACTTTTGGTGTCATTACCATCGGGAAAAGATTCTCTATCATTTCATAAGAAAAAATAATTTTTTTTTTTTTTTTCAAAAATTGAGCGACATAGAATGACAGTTTCAGAGAGGGGCCTGAAACAGTCAAAGGGTTAATGAGACTCCGTGATTATTATTATCATTTCTAATATGGCGTCACTTGTGCAAGTCGCTGCTACCACATCTCATATTTATGTTTATTTATTCTACTGTGGGGTGTATTTATCATATTTATATGTTACGCATCATGTTTATTATATAATTTTGAAAAAATATCATAGATGGATTAATGAAAATGTGTACATTAACGTAATATACGAATTTAAATGAGACTTGATGATTATTATCATCATTACTAATATGACGACTGGAGACATAAGACACTCTTACTGATTTTAATGTGTACCTGCATGCCAGCACAGTGTTTAAGTTTATTTAGGTACAGGTATACATAAGTATAATTATCAGAGTATATATAAAATATGAAATAACTTTTAAAACACTTGAAATTTGGGAGTTTCCAGACAAAATGGAGACTTAGTGCTTGGATCTCGCAGAGAATGTAAACAAACCGGGTGGGGCGCGGTGACCGTATTAGAAAGTCAAATGGGGGGGGAGCTGTACATCGAGTTTTGGTCATAATTTGAAATGACCGTATTAGCGGAACGCCGTAAAGCAAAACGCCGCAAAGCGGGGCCCTACTGTATGTGGAACAGATATAAATTAAAATTACAAAGCCAACATTAGAGAGCTTGAGTATTAATAATTATATATAATGTAATGAAAAACTATCATGATAAAGAGCCTGCATGAATTATACATTAGCTTCAACAATGAGAAAAACTAGTTTACACATGACTTTTGAGATGTCAAAAATATACACAATATTGTATAAACACAGGATAAGAGTGTTAGCTTACCATACATGAATACATTAGCTACTATGATGCTGACCTGAGTTTCATTCGCAAATTCTTCTTGGTATTTCTGAGCATAAGACTGTCCTTGTTCATGCCGCATATAGTCTGGCAGGGGTGGAAGATGCAATTCTTTATCTTCCTGTGCAGGAAGGCCTTCACCATTAGTTTGGCTGTCAGGAAGTATAACCTGTAGGAAGAAATTTGCCTTACTCAATTGTCACCATAAATGCTTGAAATTTAGGAAATTTGTAAAGAAACACTAATTATTCTATTCATAATTATTGTATCTACTTTCCAAACCAGAAAAAAAAGGTAGCATAAGCTGAGAATACACCACTAAGCCACAGAATTATCAATGTGATCCATATGATTAACCCTTTGACTGTTTCGGTCGTATATATGTGTCTTATGAGCCAATGTTTTTGACGTATTAATACGCATAAATTCTAGAGGCTTCAAATCAAGTGGGAGAAAGCTGGTGGGCCTACATGTGAGATTGGGTCTGCGTGATGGGTGTGTGCAGTATGAACAAAATCGGGGGGATTCAGTGGTGCATTGTGGGAACGCAATTTTAAGTCCTAGTTCATGATGCCTCGCGGTAAGAAGTACCTTACTCCTCGCCGAACTGGTGATCTTCTGTTCCCAAGTGATAGTTCTAACAGTGATGGAAGTGCCAGTGAAAGTGAATTCCATGGTTTTGAGGAGAGTGTGACCGAAAGCAGTGCCCAGGATAACTTAGTGATGAAAACCCAGATGACCCACAACCTTCCACCACTGGTGCTGGGCTGTCTTATTCACGTTTACTTGTACCAGGACTAAAGAGGAAACTATTTCCCTGTGTACAGGACTCGGATGTGAGCAGTGAAAGTGATAGTGATTTCCAAGCTACTGAGCAAGTTGTGACAGTGAGGGGGAATATTCTCCAGTGAAGCGGCAGTATGTATGACGCAGCATGCGTTCTGGTAGTGTGCCATATGCCATTCCAAGGAAAAAGAGTAAATCTCAGAGTACATCCCATGGCCCTACACCACGAACTGATAGTGAAGATGATGATGTTGTTACAATGGGGATGCATAATGTGCATGGGGCAGCAGTTGGTGGTGGTGGTGTTGGCGGTGGCATGAGTCACGTGGCACCAGCAGTAGGCCACGCTGCTACCCATGTTGCTAATTCAGCACAGCCACAACCAGCCTCAATCACCCTCACACTCCCACAACCTGCACAACCACCTGTTAATATCCAGTACCCACCAGCAGACGGCATCTGGGATTGGCAGGAAGGTGTTAATTTTGTTCCCAATCCCCATGACTTTGATGAAACACAAAGTGGAATACAGCCATCGTGTACACTTGGGAACAATGCCACTGAACTGGAATGCTTTCAATTATTCTTCGATGAACCCCTGATGAAAATTATCGTCAGGGAAAGCAACACATACTACGAGTACACCATGGCAAATACAATTCTTTCACCAAGGTTATGGCTACACCAGTAGAAGGACACAACTGAGGCAGAGATGTACCTGTTCTTTGCCACAATAATGCTTATACCAGATGTGTATAAGCACACTGTCGCCACAAACTGGTTGACAGACCCCCTGATGTCAACCCCAAGTTTTAGTGATATTATACCAGTGAATTGATTTCTGCTACTGTTACATATGCTACACTTCTCAGACAAAACAAGGTCTGACAGAAACAACAGTTTATATAAGATCAGGAATGTGTTTATATACCTGAAACAAAAGTGGTGTATGTATTTTTATCCCTTCAAGAAGCTTGTTATTGACGAGTCTGATTTTGTTCAAAGGCGAACTGTCGTTCAAGCGGTATTTTTACTGTGTGATTGCAAAAGTGGTCTGGTTTTGGATATATGTAATTGTGTACACTGGCAGTAATACATCGAGAGAGATACTAGAAAGTTATTGGGTATCTCTAGTGATGTGCATAGAACAATAATAGAGCCATATCTTCATAAGAGGCATATACGGTGGACCCCTCGGTTTTCATGTTTAATCCGTTCCAGAGCCATTGGCCAAAACTGAAACTGGCCAAAACCAAAACCATTTCCCCCCATAAGAAATTACGTAAATGGAATTAATCCATTCCAGACACCCAAAAGTATCAATAAAAAAAATTTTTTGACCTCAAAGATAGTTACGTGCACAAAAGAATGAACATTACACATGACACTTACCTTTATTGAATGCTGTTGTTGTTGGAAGGAAGACAGGGAGGAGGGGAGAGGGAAGATAGGTTATTGTTTGGAAGAGGAATCCCCCTCCATAAGGACTCTAGGTACCAAGTCCTTATCCAGGGTCACTTCCCTCCTTTGTTTTTTAATGCCACTAGGACCAGCTTCAGAGTCACTGGACCCCTGTCGCACAAAATATCTGTCCAGATAGGCCTGTTTCCGGCATCTCTAAGATTTGCCTAAAATGGGACATGACACTGTCATTGTAAAAATCACCAGCACAGATTGCAACAGGTGTCTCAGGGTGATGTTCCTCCACAAATGAATGCACTTTAGTCCACATTGCACAAATCTCCTTAATCTTTGAAAAAGGCACCTTCTTCCACCTTCTCTGAAGCGATTTCCTCAGCTGTGGTCTGTTGCAGTTGCAGATGAAGGTCTTGCAGCTCTGTAGTGGTTACCTCTTCATTGTGGTCCTCCACCAACTTCCACATCCTGGCCACTCACATCTAACCCCATGGAATTCCCCAATGCCACAACTGATTGCACAACAGGTGTAGGGTCAATAGGGTCAGCCTCAAACCCTTCAAAATCCTTCTTTTGGACACAATCTGGCCAAAGTTTTCTCCAAGTAGAGTTCATCGCCCTGGAAGTCACTCCTTGCCAAGCCTTATGTATAAGACCTATGCAGTGGAAGATACTGAAGTGATACTTTCAGAAGTCTCTTAGGGTCAATTCAGAGTCCGAAGTTACGTCAAAGCACCTCTGAAACATTGCTTTGGTGCACAGTTTTTTGAAGTTTGCAATGATCTGCTGGTCCATGGGCTGGAGAAGAGGAGTGGTGTTAGGAGGCAAGAACTTCACTGTTACAAAACTGAATTCCTTAGACAATTGGTCTTCCAAGTCTGGAGGATGAGCAGGAGCACTGTCCATTAACAGGAGGCAATGGAGTGGCAATTTATTATCCAGGAGGTATTTCTTCACACACAGGCCAAACACTTCATTGAACCATTCCAGGAAAATTTCCCTAGTGACCCATGCCCTACCGTTAGCCTTCCCCATTACACACGATTTACTCTTGACAACACTGTTTTTCTTGAACACTCTGAAATTTTCAGTGATACACCAGTAAAGGCTTCACTTTGAAATCCCCACTAGCATTACCACACTACAAGAGAGTTAACCTGTCTTTCATAGGCTTGTGTCCTGGGAGTGCCTTTTCCTCCTGCGTAATGTAGGTCCTCTTTGGCGTTTTTTTCCAAAACAGGCCTGTTTCATCACAAACACTTGGGGTTGGAATTTTTCAGCCTCTACATAACATTTGAATTCCCGCACGAATTTTTCAGCCATTTGTTTGTCTGAACTGGCACCCTCGTTGTGCCTTACAACACTGTGTATGCCACTTTGCTTCTTGAATTTTTTGAACCATCCTTTCCTGGCCTTAAATTCACCAACATCAGCACTTGTTTCAGGCAGTTTCTTTATGAGGTCATCATGCAACTGTCTTGCCTTTTCACAAATAATAGACTGCACAACACTATCTCCTGCTAACTCTTTCTCTCAGATCCACACCAACAACAATTTCTCCACTTCTTCAATTGTTTGGGATCTCTGTTTGGTTATCGTATTCACCCCTTTCGCAACATCAGCTTCCATGATTTCTTTTCTCTTTGCCACAATGGAGCTGATTGTTGATGGCGACTTCTCGTACATCCTGCCGAGTTCAGCGATGTGTATGTCACTATCGTATTTTCTTAGGATTTCTTTTTTCAGTTCTACGGTGTTCCTCACTTTCTTTACCAAAGCACTGGCACTAGGAGCTTTCTTTGTGGCCATGGTCGCTTATTTAGCAGTCATACACAATAAACAAGTGGCAAAAACAATGGATTATTACGAAATGTTTCATATGACCTGGCAGGATATGTTCACTCTCCGAGAATGGTGTGGGAGGTGGCTTTGTCTGCGCACTCGGCACTGGAAAGGTTCTGTACAGTTGACAAAAACGGAGGTAATCGACGAAAAAATTAGGCCAAAACCGAAATCGGCGATAACAGAAATAGGCGAAAACTGAGGTTCCACTGTATTATGTACTGATAACTGGTACACAAGCCCCTTACTCGGTGATTTCTTGTGAGTGAACATGACAGATGTGTGTGGCACAGTGCGTGGAAATCGTAAGCATGTGCCTAAGTTCAACACAGGCACTCACAGAGGTGAGATGCAGGCATTTGCTGCTAATGACATCATGGCATTTTGGTGGCATGACAAACGTGATGTCACATTGTTGACATCAGTTCACTGACATGAAATGGCAGACACTGGCAGGCAGAATAGAGAGACCAATGAACCCATTCTACAACCTGCAGCTGTGATGGACTGTAACCTCAATATGCACTTAGTGGACAAATGTGACATGCAGATTGGGTTTGCTGATTGTGTTCGCAAGAGTTATAAGTGGCACATAAAACTCTCTTTTCATTTTTTTGATATTTCCATGCCGAATGCTTATAATATGTACAAGTTGAAGACTAACAATAAACCCAAATATGGTGAATTTTCTCAGTTGTCAGACTAATAATATTCAAGTACCAAGGAACAGCACCTGCAATAGACCAGCGCCCACGAAATTAACAATATATACCCTCTCATCTGAGGCCTGGTAATTACTACCCCATACAACTGCCTCCTACTACTTTCAAGAAAACTGCTCAGAAGAGGTGCTGTCAGTGCACATACCACAAAACCCCACAAAAACGAAGAAACACTCATTTTATGTGCGAGGATTGTAAAATACCAATGTGCATACACCCATGTTTCAAAGAATTCCACAAGCTGCAGCGCTTCTAGGAAAGTTTCCAGTGACTACATTTGTATACAAGAATATAAGAAAGGAGGAACACTGCAGCAGAACTGTTGGCCCATACTAGGCAGGTCCTTCACAATACATCCCACTAACAAAATATTTGCCCAACCCAATTTTCAATTCTACCCAAG